TCGAACATATAATCGGGCATCTTAAATGGTAATTGTTCATTCGGACCACCAAGAAATTAGTTAAGACCACAACAAACACAACAATATTTTTCTTTACAATGTCAAACACCAACTTCGAATGAACTTGTTTAACACTTTATAAGAGACCCTTAAGATTAAAACACTTTGTATAATAATCAAATAAGGTCGTATATGGAAAATAATATTGTTAGTTGAATTCACAAATAAAGTAGGATGTGGAAAGTAAGTAATTTCCAAAAAATCTAATATTTCGCAAATGACATGTACGAGTTCACAGACAACATCCATGAAATGACCAAATATAACATTTTCGCAAATGGATGATGTGAGTTCGTAGATGTCATCTTAATTTGTAGATGGCATCGTATTTCTCCGATGATATCATCAATATTTTAAATGTCATCTATAAAATTGAGCTAATATTAAGAATCTTTTATTTTTGGGATATATACACTAAAGTCCCAATATTTTCATCGATTTGACAAGAAAGTCCTAAACTTTATTTTTTTGACAGTAAAGTCCAAATTACCGACAGTTTTTGACACTTTTACCCTTTTTTCCGGTTAGCCGGTAATTAGGACTTTTAAGTCAAAAAAATAAAGTTTAGGACTTTCTTGTCAAATCGCCAATTAGGACTTTACTGTCAAAAAAATAAAGTTTAGGACATTCTTGTCAAATCGTTGAAAATATTGGAATTTTAGTGTAATTTCGTAACCCAAGAACTTTTAATTGTGACTTTTGTTGTAGCACCACTGTTTTTCTTATCGTCGTCATCTTTACCCTGACACAATCACAATCTGGAGAAACATATGCACAAGAGAGCGAGAAAGGGTGAAAAGACTTGTAAAACTTACTTCTTGCTTCGCCTCCAAATCTTGAACTAAAAAGTGGGGACATATTATACAAACACAAACAACACATGCCTAGTCAAAAAGGTGTGAATGTAGAGAAGGGAAAGAAGGGAAATTTCGTTTTTTTTTTCGGTTTCTTATTTCTCCATATTTGGGACTGCAAAAAGCCAACACAACCATGTTTCTTTCTTTCTTTCTTGATTATCTTCATTTTTTTCAATGTCGGTTTGTTGAAATTAAAAAAAAAACGATTTAACAAGAAGCAAACGTTAAGGATTTTAATAAGATCTAGCTGACTAGAGAAAGTTTCAATAACTCTTATGCTTAAAGAGTATCATACCATTAAATTTCTAACAAAAAAAAAGGATATATACACTAAAGTCCCAATGTTTTCAACGATTTGACAAGAAAGTCCTAAACTTTATTTTTTTGACAGTAAAGTCGTAATTGACGATTTGACAAGAAAGTCTTAAACTTTATTTTTTTGACAAAAAAGTCCTAATTACCGGCTAACCGGAAAAAAGATAAAAGTGTCAAAAACTGCCGGTATTAGCTGGTAATTAGGACTTTTTTGTCAAAAAAAATAAAGTTTAGGATTTTTTGTCAAATCGATGAAAATATTGGGACTTTAGTGTATATATCCCTTTAGCTTAAATTTTTAAAAACCTGATAATTAAGATTAGTATAATCTATCTTTGTTTTGCTTTTTAAATTTTGGATGTGACATTTAGTATTTTTCAATAAATGACAAGTTGTTTGCAATCCATCGGGGGGCGGGGGGCCTCCCCCTCGTCATAACATGTAGTTCCATCCACATCTACATATCTATTTAAATAATTTATTAAAAATAAATGTTAAGTAATAAGATTGTTTCGTTTTTTCGTTCTGAAAGGCTAACTGCACACCAAAAACATATGCTTATAAGCTTTTTCAAACTTTATTTTATGATGCTGCTTAACTTTACTGGTTATTCAACCCAAAATATTAATTTTAATAAAAACCAACCTATTCGACCTAGTAACATATTCCCCTACATGCAAAGTTTCAATATTCACATGCCTTTCTAGTTGATCCAATTGTATACACAAATGTATAATTATAACTATATAAAAAAAGGGAAGTGATTTATATAGAATAATTTTTCTCCATACATAACAATTTATGTTTTAGAGAATTATGCAATACAACATTTTAAAACATAAATTGTTATATACGGAAAAAAATTGTTGCATATAAATTGAGTCTTATACAAAAAATAAAAACTTTATAAAAAAAGCTTATTCATTTAACTTATTTGAATTCAACAATCTTGTTTAATTGAAAAGAAAAATTATCTCGTAAGCTTTTAATGAATGTTCTAATACTGAAGTTAGTTTATCATATAGGACTTAAAAATATTGAAGGCTTGAAGCAAGTAAATCGTACCGGAACAATAGTAATTAGTCTATAATAATATAATCTATTTATACATTAATCAAATAAAAAATTGCTTCACTTTTGTTTATTATATTTTGAATTGTTTTATAATTTAAATGGTCAAAAAATAGATTTTTCATAAAAAAAAATACAGTGCTTAAAACATATACAAATAACTATGAGTGTAATCCGAGGTGGCAATCAGGTTGGGCACGTTGGTCCTGATTTCACGAGGTGTACTGTCTGAAAAGGATTCCCGGACAAGTGGGCCCAATGACTCAGCAACTTTTAACAAAATGGGCGCCTCTTAATACTGAAACCCACAATCATAATACTCTTATGGGTCCCACTATACGAAAAAAGTTTTGACACGTCAAGTCACTTATCCTCTTGTCCGTTGATTCAAAAGAATTAACGGTGATTAATTAAAAGTGTTAGCAAAATATGGGCCATAGATCCACCGGCCTATCGGACACTCTTTGGCCTCCTCTTCATCTCATCATAATTCCCATCTTGATGACTTTATATTTTACTATTTACTTTTTTTTTTTCATTATACACACAAATCTTAGAATCTTGATCTTTTAT